CTGCGTTGCCTTGCCCAAACTTTGAATGCTATGATGCACGACACTTGTGGATTGACTTTCCTGAGTTATAGCCCTATAACACTTTGTCTAATAATTGCTTTCGATTTTAAGGCCCTTCATCGCGCTTTGTCTCTTTTCTTTAACATGTTTTGACAAAGTAACCGCTTGTTTTGTTATTTGCGCAGAAATGTTTGGCAAGGCACTAGAGAAGCACCGGTTAATGCAGGCAGAAGAGAGACAAAAACTCAGTAAGCATCGCCACAAGGCTTCAAGTCATCCATCAGAGTATGTCGCAATGATCATTGATGGGATGGATCAGAGCAAGACTATACTGCCACACTTCACTAGGGTTCCAAAGGATTTGAAACTAAAAGAAGGGAACTTTGTGAAAATTCACGTGGTTTGGGCTAAGGTGCTAGGACTCTCATCGAACGCCTCTGCAACTGTTTTCTTTGACAACTTCAAATCAGATTTTAATTTCATACTAACTGTTCTTCATCGTTAGATTTCCTGTACCATTTCCGAGAGTCTTGTATCTTACACTTGATAACACTTCGAAAGAGAACAAGAACAAATTTGTGTTGTCATATCTCGTGTTCTTGGTGAAAATGAGAGTGTTTAGTAAAGTTAAGTTAAACTTTCTTCTTATGGGTCATACGCACTAGGACATCGACCAGATGTTCAGCTGTTTCTCGAGAAAGCTGGCTGCACATGGTGCGTTCAATCTTCCTGAGTTGCAACACGTGATTACGGAGTCGTACAAACAAAGTAGAACAAGATCATGGCGTGCACGTTGAGGAGATGACGGAAACAATGGACTGGAAGTTGTATGTTCAGGATCATCTACATAATGTCAATGATATTAGCTTCAACCAACATTTCCAAATCAAGCGCAATGACAACGGGGAGATGTGCATTTGGAGCAAGCAATATCATAACTCGCAGTGGCAGCCGAACGACAGAGAAGATCTGGACATCTTCAAGTCAGAGCCAATAGGATAAGTTCAAGCTTCACCAAAGCATGCAATCCGATCTTTGGAAGCAAGATATGGACTTACTTGTCGGGGTGAGGACGAGAGGCGTGATAAGGTCGTCAGCAGTGAAGGTCATGTCCGTAATCGAAAAGCGGGAGGATCTTCGAAATTCAAGGTTGACAATGATGTACTTTCCATCGCCGCCTTGAAAGCCAACGTACATGCCCTGTCGCATTACGCTCAACCCCACAACATTGAATGGTGGAATAAGTTTATAGCAACGCAGAAAACTCTCGACCTTGAGGACACAAACCTCAAAGAGCCTTTCGCGTGGCCCTCTGTATCAGCTGATGTCCGCAGAGCAGGTGAAGAAGTTTCACCAACCGCTAACGACTTTGACCAACGCTGGGATGATTTTTTCCCTCCTGAGAGACCCATCTACATCCGTGCACGAAAGAGCAGACGGTTTCGAGAGGACAAAGACGGAAATTACGGCGATGTCGAGGTCAACACTTTCATCGCATTACGAGCTTGTTCAGGCAGGAAAAGAGAGGCAAACCTTACCACATTGGCAAGGTTGTCGAGCTGCTAGCAGGTAAACGATTCAAAGTTGCTTGGTTTGCACAACGTGAGAAAGGAGAGGGTTACTATCCTCAGTTCAAGACAAATCCTCAAGGAAAGACTACGAGAGACCCTTCCGAGGACGTCTATGACTGGAGCTGCGGCGTTCTTTGTTACAACTTCCAACTGAAGACAGACAGGACCCTCTTCTCACAGACCAGACAAAAGATCTCTGAGATGTTGAATTCCATGACAACGGAGGATGTCGACTAGGAAGACCTTCTAGGAACCGATTGCTTCGGAGGTTGGCAGAGTGTCATCGAGATCGATGTCATTTCTGCTTCCGCATTAGATCAGGTTTCCTTTTGTCACTGTTCAACAGATTATCTGAGTTTAGTCGTTAGCGACTTGTAAATTCTTGTAAATATGTACAACAGTAGGTTGCAGTTCGCAGTCAGGCACGTGTGCCCAACCTTTTTGTTATCTGAGTCTAGTCGTTAGCAGCTTGTAAATTCTTGTAAATTTGTACAACAGTAGGTCGCAGTTCGCAGTCAGGCACGTGTGGCCAACCTTTTTGTTTTCGCGATCTTTTTCAAATGTACTTTGCGGTTTTTCACTTTACAATTTTGAGATTTTGGAAATTGACTGACAATTTGCCGTTTGGGTTCCGACTTTTCGATTTGCGGTTTGTCATTCATTTTTTGACCAAAACATTTGTCACATGAACAATTGTCGATTTGCGGTTTGTCATTCAAACTCTCACGACATTATGCTCTTTTCTATTTCCCGCAAAGTCGTGTTAAAGGCCTACAAGGTCGTGTTCGAATTTCATTGAATTTTTACGACGTTCAACATTGCGTTTACAGCGCTTCAAACACCTCACCGATTACGGATTAAAAGTTTTACGCCCGCCAAGCTTCATGTCAAATTCTCGCGAAATTATGCATTTTTTCTACTTCCCTAAAATTCGCGTTATAGGCCTATAAGGTCGTGTTCGAATTTCGTGGAATTTTCACGACTTTTAACATTGTGTTTTTAGGGCTTTAAATACTCGGCTAAAAATTATGCTCTTTTTGTACTTTACCAAAATTTGCGTTATAGGCCTTTGAGGTCGTGTTTGAATTTCGCTCAATTTTCGTGATGTTGAACATTGCGTTTATAGGGCTATAAATGCTTGACCGATTGCGGACTAAAATTATTGTATCTGTGTTTCGTTTTCAAACAGTCGTTATAGGGCTATAATTCGAAAAGTGCGGTTTTCGAATTTCGAGAGAATTTCCCAGGGTCTCTTTCAAAACTTGCGAGATTCGACTCTTTTCTGCATTTGCGCAAATTCGAGTTATAGGCCTATAAAACCGTGTTTGGAAGTCGTTGAATTTCCGTGACGATCGAATATGGTCAATTTGACTGTCCACAACTTTTGGAGATTTGAAATCAGTTGTCGTTGGCTGTTTTTTGCTTTCCTCTGCATCCCGTTTTTTTACTACCTTCGTTTTCAAGCTTCTATTTCCTTAGTATTATGAGTGCAAAGAAAGAGGCTCTGTTCGCCTTGCCAGATTTTCGGTTAGTTTTTACGTCCTTGGATTAGGTTCCGGAAAAAGGCTCTTCTGTTTTGAAACAAAATACAACTTCCAATGTACAGTACTGACTGGTCGTTTCGTTATGCACTGAAATCTCCATAAATTGGAGATCTTTTCGTCGGCCATGAGTAGGAGTCGCCTGTTCGCCTCCAAAATGGGCTTTTTTTTCCACGTTGTAGTCGGCCTCGTATATTTACTGATTTTTAGGAGGGGTTTCGATGACATTTGCGCACGAAACGGTGCAAAGTCCACCTTTACTTGTAAAAAAATGCTATGTTCCATTGACGTTTTTCTGTCTATAGGATTTATCTGGTTTTGGTATGTTTCTCTGGTTTTCACGAATCCATTGTTAGTAGGGAGTTGGGCGATCCGACGAGCTAGTGCTGGGTATGCGGGGTTAACGTGTGCTCGTGAAGGATTGTGGCACACGGACGAACTTGGCTTGCATGGGATTAAGCGGGGTGACAACTCTGTGTGAGTAGTAGGTGCGATGCGATGGACTGCTCGCACCGGGGTGGTGTAGAGAGAGAGAGAGAGAAAGAAAGAGAGAAAGAGAAAGAGTGATAACGAGAGGTGTTGAGATGGTGCTTCGTCTTCGACTTTTTCTGCGCAATTTTGGGTATCAACGCAAGCCATTTTTTGTTCATGATTGTCTCGAGTCTTTCCTTGTCTTTCCTTCGTAAATTGATGGATGATTAAGTATGTCCTCTTCCGCCCCCTTCATTTTTCTACTTGGTTGCCAACCTGGTGGATTAATTGTCCGCACTCGATCTATGTATGTTTTCGGACCAATTATATGTTTTTATGATGCATGAGTGCTTTTTGTTTTCTTGTCCTTATTTCTGTAATAGGGGTGAGCATGCAGGTTGATTAGATGCCTGCTTCACACTGAGCCCGCAAGTGACACCTTTCTGGCCGATCCGACGGGCCGATGCACTTGTGCCCAAAAGCTATGAAAAGTCCCGGCCAAATCGAAGGAAGATCGTGTAAGCGCATGTGTATGTTTGACGCCAGAGGCCACCGCGTGCACATGCGCCCACAGGATCTGCCCTCGACCTAGTTGATGAACGAGCACTTCGATTGCATGGATTCCTACCCCAACCCCACAATATGAATGTCGAAATTCCCTTCCGGATCACTTACCGTGACTGCTTCAGGGATCGTGAGTTCCGATAATACTGGGAACGCACATGCCTTTCTGCACGATCGAGGACTGAGTTCCTAGAATTTCAATATGACACAGGAACCGAACGCCTCTGCGAGTGGGATATTAGATGGGCCCTAGAACATAGTCCCCATTACCCCGACTGTCCCAGCCCGTACACGTGTCAAATCATCATTGAACACGACATAGTTATCCTTGAAACAGAGTTTCCTCCCTACCACCGTATATTGCCTTTCCACTGCTTGACTATTGCCCCTTGGCGACTACTCGCCCCCTACTGGCCGCAACCCCAGTGCTCTGAGTGTCTGCAAGAGCATGCCTACCGAGCATCGAAATTCGTTCGGCGAACCCGTTCGGAAGCCGAACGACGGGAGCACAGGCTTCGGCTGAGGCCGACTGCGTCCGATTCCGAAATTTGCGAAACCCGTCGACGATGGGTGTTGCACCAACAGGACAGCCATTAAGTCCCTACGGTACACCGAATACGGATCCGCCCCAGACGACAAGACCAACGAAGGTGATCACCCTGTTTCCCGAGGCCTAAAATGGAACCTCATCCTTCGCCCGCCCACTTGTGATTCATATCCCTGAAACTTGACACATGAGATCTTAGTTCTGACTTGGGACTCCACCCCCATCTTCCTAAAATCCTTGACACACCCCTTTTTGGTCCACTTTCAGGCCCACTCCCACTCCGAACAGGAAGTCCTGCTGGGCGTGAGGTTGGGCGTCACAGCGTATCCACCATCCTTGGGTTTTGTTTCCCAGTTGACTTTCATATTTGACAGTTTGCATAAGTGATTCATCATGTGTTGTACTTCGTCCATTAATTCTCTAGATGCATCCACCATTAGGGTCAGGTCATCTGCAAGCAATGAGCAAACTGGGATTGCCTCCTTGGGTATTGATGCCACTTGAATTCTTTTGATGTCCTTATGTGTCCTCAGGTTGGCGGCTAATGCTTCCATGACTATGACAAAGAGAGGGGGCTATAGGGTCCCCCTCTCTAACTGACCTCTGAAGGTTGATGGGAGGGACCAAATTGTCGTTCACCATAACCCTGGTCGTTGCGTTAACGTGAAGGATCTCTATCCATCTTCTGAAGCATAGAGCGAAGTTGAGTTTTTCCAAGCACTTGTCTAGGAAAAAACAATCAATGTGGTCATACGCCTTCTCGAAGTCGATAAAGATGATCGCTGCATTGTTTTTTGTCTATCATGTCAACTTGATCATCTCGTTGACTAGGAGAATGTTATCTTGGATATTCCTACTGTATATGAACCCGGGTAGTTTGGCCTTGAGAGACTCAAAGAAAACTTGTCATGCCACTGGGTCGGGGGGGGGGCATATACAATCAAGATATTAACCACTTCCAACTCCAACATCGTCAGTATATAGACCCATCTGCCTTTTTCTTGATCCACTGCGTAGTTGAGCATTTCTACCTTTGAGCCAGGGGGAAGCCATATGGCTACCCCTCCGCTTCCTGATTGTGGGGCGTGAGCGCGAAAGGCCTGGTGCGGCCAGCTACTTGATTTTGAGGATTTTTTTTTTTTTTTTGTCACTTTTGGTCCTTCTGCGAGGCAAAAGGGGATGGAGGAATGGTTTGATACGTTTCTACGTGATAACGTTTTCCGAGGTTAGGTTTTACGGGGAATATATGATCCTTGGTTCATTTGATTTTTGTTGTTTTGGTCATATAGGGTTGTTTGGACTCGTAGATTGGCGTTTTAGGCAAATAGGGTAGGCTGCCGGCTTAGGCAGTAGGGTGATTGGTTGATGCTGGTTGACGAGGCTCGACGGTGTAAGGACTCGAATCCTTGGGAGTCTATACAGGCATGGTCAGCCTGGGTTCTTGGCTGACTGTATGGTTGGTGGTTAGTTAGGCTGACAGAAGTGAAAAAAAAAAAAAAAAAAAAGGCTGGCAGAAGTGCACTTTACCCAGTTTACCCAGTAAGGACTAAGCCCTGAGAATGTGGGATGTCAGATGAAATTGTAGTGTAGATGG